ACACGGAGGGAGGTCAGAAACACAGTTTCGCCCAACAACCTCCACAACGACTAAATGAACGATGAACTGTGTATCTTGCACTTAATCTCCACATAGCCTGCCGTCCACATAAAAGCGACGAATCGTCTTTCTTATTCGGCGCCTCATTTTTATTTTCCTTGTGCAGCTGTTCCTTCAAAAACCAGAAGAATAAACTTTGTCTACGATTATTTCTGTCAAGTAGTAAATCATCGCTACTATAAGGGCAACGCCGAAGGGAGGAGAGAGTAGTCCGAGAGAGGACTGCTGATAAGCATCATGACAGGCACTGGGAAGAGAAACTCCTTAGCCATACAAGTGCTGCATTGCACACTGGAAACCTGATCATGTGGGAATGAAGAGGAGTGAGATTGGAGCAACGGATTACACACTGATAATTAGTTAATGACTTGACACTTTTCTCACCTAAAATCTATCAGCAGTCGGTAGATTTTTACTTCTATTGTCACCACTATAACTCATTTCAAAGCACTATTGCCTCCATGTATACTACTTTTACATTTAAATAAGTAGTCAATGCTACTCCTGAAATTAATAATGGCATGTGGCTTAAGCAAATTGTTTGAAATGAAATTTTTATATCATAAAAGTCATGACAATCTGGAAATGTCACAAATGTTGTAGTCGTGACGCTGGGCTCAGGCAATGTCTTCTGCTTCCTCTGGTCCACTCCACCACTAAACATCTCGAAATGGCACAAATAAGCTCTAAAATGCAATGATAAACTTTGTTGAAAGTGAGGATGTCCTTCGCTAAGACGAATGTTTAGAGATTTATTTACCGACCCAACACATATGAATTGCCAAAATTAGGCATTTTGCAGGAGAGTGGAAGTAGAAGGAGGACTCCTTCAGCGCTTGGAAATGAAGGACAGCGAAGATTATTCTGCAATAAGCGGTGTTGCTCAACACCTTTATGGGATTTTAAACGTGGCAGGAGGAATGACTCCCCTGTGATGCAGCTCAGCAAGAGAAAAATCGGGAGTCTGAATTCATCATTTACTCCTTCGTACACTTACATGTGTGTAAAGTCGGAGATTTGAGCTGTCTCCACCACCGCTGAAACTGAATGCCTTAGAGGTGGTTCGCAAGGGGAGACCACTTGCAAGGCGAGGTATGTGATGAAGAGGAAAAGTATTTTCACCTTCTTTCGTCAACATCGAGCAGCTAATTGACTAACTCCAGGTCAGTGTCAGGCGAATCATTTCATCTTGAAGGGGCTGATATGACATGTGGACGATGCAGACTGACTCACTGATGTGGTAAGGTTTTTTCATCAACTGAAAATATGCAGTACGGCGTCATTCCACATTTTTTTCCAAATCGGGTGAACCATTCTTCTACTTGACGAGTAAAAATTACTCATTAGAATCGTGCACAAATCCTCTGTCGAGTTGTATGACATATTAACTAATTTTAGGCTCCTACTTCACATGGACACAAATTCGTCTGGAGCCTAATTTTAGAAGGATACTTACTTTTGGGGAGGAGAACACTTAATTTATCACAATAGAGCGCATTATGCGTCGAGCCGAGAAGTGCGAGGGTGATTAGGCGGACCAGGAAAGGAGCGTCACATCGCCCTCTCCTCCCAGACTCCGCTGATTTCGAGAGACATTTTACTTGATCTCCAAATCGTAGGAACTCTGTAACCCACGCAAAAGCGATGATCAGAGACTGAACGCGGATTTTACTGTCTGCTCTCCTACGTTTATATTACCTCACTGTAGATTTGCTGTTCGGTGATTTGCAAAGACAGTTCTCTCGCAGGTGACGTTGACAATAACATAATCTTGTCACTGATGCTTCAGAGCAATTCCGTGAGGCGTTAATTTAGGCGGATTATTTTTAGCTAAGTAAGTAAGTGAGTAAGTTCAACGACATCTTCTTCCTCACTTCTCTTGATCGGCATCACAGAGCCACTCGCTGCCCTGCTAATAAGCGCTGGACACTGTTACCATCCTTCGACCTTAATGCCACCA